ACTAGTTGACTTTGTTTTTTTTCTTACAGTTATTTATTCACTCCTACTAACCAAATTTATATTTTGCTTTTTCTTTTGATATCTTGCTTCTCTCTCGGAACAGGCTACTCATTTATGGAAGTCATCCGATTTTTATTGAAAGATCTTCAATTTTAACTTTGTTACCATCACTATTCATTCAAAGTTTTGCTTGATTTGGAACCCCCAATTATTTATGGTGGCTTTCATTCAATTTGGGTTGCAGGCCTACTTCCTCAGCGGCAGCACCAACAGCGACAACGATGATGACCCACCTCCGGGGACTACCAAGTTACTTCGAGTTAGCAACAAACATGCAAAAACTCATACTATAGCCCCACTAAGCTTCCATGAAGAAAAACAAACTTGATGTAAAATCTGGACAAATCAATCCCGATTCGTCAATTCTCTTAGGCAATCGAGTTCTACCGGCGAGAGCTGCGATTCATTAGTAGCAACGACTTCAGCGAGACATCCGGTGATGGTCATAGCTTGTTCTTCGTCTTCTTCATATAAGTGGTTATATTGTCTCTCACGAGGCAACAATGACAACACTTGAAGATCCACAGGCTAGGTGGCTAGGTCATGAATTCCAGTGTGATTTTTTACTTTCAGTAAAGAAGAGTGAAGAAATAAAAGATATGTAGTACGGAGAAAATATATCTCAAATTAGCTATGTGAAGAGAAGAAAAATTAGTAAAAAGGAAAATAAACATGTTAGATTAGCCATGTCACTGAATTACCGGATGACCGTGAGTTCGTATATGGTACCACCGGCTCTACGGTGAGCACCGTACAGCCGGCCCAGTAACAGGCCCAAGGGAAAATAGGGAAAAAATTCGGTGGCAGTTTTGTAATTAATGTAAAAAATCGTGGTTTCTGCTAAATGAGTATCGGTGTACAATTATTGAGCAATAGTCCAATTTTAATGAGTATTAAGCGTACAATAATGAGCACCTTGTTAGTACAATAAAGTTGATATCACAACTAAAAAACGGTGGCATTTTCGTAATTTTAGTGAAATCGCGTTTTTCGTTAGATGAACATTAATACATTTTTAATGAGCATCAGACGTATTGTATTGAGCATTAAAAGGCGAATAATGAGTGTTGTGATATCAACTTCATACATTGTAATTAACTTTTTTTCCTTATTTTTTCTTTTATAAAAACTCATTAAATTATATCTATAATCAATTCTTATGAATTTTAATATGCGAATTTAATGTAATATGATACTTTTAAAACGTACATTGTTATGACATTTTAAAAATGAGCACACCAGTACCAAATGAGCATACGTAACATACAAATGAGCATTGATATGAATATGACATTTTAAAATGCGTATTACATTAATACCAAATGAGCATACATAAATCATGAAATGAGCAACGAAAATTCAAGTTTTTCATTTAGAATCTCTAGTATGCTCAATTTTTCGTTTATGTACATCATTTTATTCTCTAGTATGCTCAAGTTTTCATTTGTGTATGCTCATTTGAACTTCCCTTTTTCCGACCTCATCACTTGACGTGCACTTTGTCGTGTGTGCACTCAAAATAATTTCAATACTAACACTTATACGTAGTATAGCGTAGTAAGGTTCGTATCCACAGGGAAAAGAATATTTCTCTTTTTAATTAACTAGTAACAAAAGGGGGGGTTCAGGATTGAGTGATTTAATTAAAATTAAACACGAAGATGAACGAGTTATGTGGTTTACTTTAATAGAGATGGAGGCTTGGTTTTGCTTTTATCCACTTAATGAAATGTTCGTCGATCCCGGTTATGTCTTTAACTATCTTCCTCTCGAATACTCAATCGAGGAGTATATCCAGTTCATCGAGGGTAGTTATTAATAACGAGATGCGTTCATTAATAAAACTTACTATCGAGGCAATATAGAACAAGCGCCGTATATTAACTTGATAGTAGCAATAAACTTAAGATGAAAACGATTGAGATTGATAACCTCAACACAAGCGGTTTATTGGTTTAATCAATATAATTAATTCCCCTTGGCTTATTAATCATGAGAAACATGCATTAACAACCCAAGTTTACTACCATTGAAAGAACCGAATTAATAACAAGCGTATTAACCGATTGATTCTAGTAATAAATAATATATGAAACAAAACTAGTTGATCCTTTAAGTAATGTTCAAAATATTAATATGAAATATGAATAGGAATTAATTAATACTCAAGGAAGAATATTAAAGAAGATGAATCCTACTATAGTTAATATCAAGATGTTAACTAATTGTCATCTTAGTAACACTCCCCAATATTAACATAGAGGAAGAAATAGCTATTACTATAACTAATGTCAAGATGTTAACTAATTGTCATCTTAGTAACACTCCCCAACATTGATATAGAAATAGTATTTAAAGGAAGAATTAATATTCAAAGAAGAAGATTAAAGAGAATAACTCACAACTTACAAATTCATTAAGCTTCAAAGTAGCAAAACCAAGATGGAAGGGTTTAGCTCCTCATTTGGAGACTAAACATGCTATAAAAATATAAAAGAAATACTATTCTAAACTGAGCTTAAGAGTATGGAAGAAGGGATGATTAAAAGTGAAGGAAAATGGGGCTATTTATAGGTGTTTTTCAACACCTTTGGCCGGGTACCCGACCGGGTAAAGTGCCCACCCGACCGGGTGCATGTCAAAATAAAATATCTTCCACGTTCTGGTGATCTTCGGCACGTTCTGATGTTCCGGGTCAAGTCGGACCCGACCGGCTGAAATACCTCACCCGACCGGGTGATGTAATTTCCTGAGCAGTTTCGCATTTAAATTTCTCACCCGACCGGTTGCAATACCTCACCCGACCGGGTGATTGTCCTGGGCAGCCAATAATCATTTTTCTTCACATTCAAAGTCTTCCTTTCCAACACCATAAATCCTAACTCTACTTTACAACTTACAAATGAGAACTAAAATACAATTACAACTAAAATCACACAAATGTTTACAAACTAAATAAAATGGTAAACAATCCACACAAATCAAACATAAAAAGACACATTTATGCACTACTAATTAGTGCATATCATCACTGCCAACGAAAAATTCGAAAAACTCATTTAGAATCTTTAGTATGCTCAATTTTTCATTTCTGTACATCATTTGAATTCTCTAGTATGCTCAAGTTTGCATTTGTGTATGCTCGTTTGAATTTCCCAACATGCTCAAAATTATCATTTCTTTTATTCATTATGCACATTTATTATAAACACTTTACTCATTACCAATATTACACAAAATTTATGTTAGTAATTAACAAACTCAAAATATTAATACACAATATTAAAATACAATTTAAAAATACATTGAAAAAGGTGATAGTGGGGTTTGACTATTTGAGAACTTTATATGCCCACTTTCTCTCCAAGGTACGAAGGATTAAAATCGGCTTCTCCATCATCGACCTCAACAATTCTCCTGGCCAAGACCTCAGCTATTCTCCCGGCCAAGACCTCAGCGATTCTCCCGGCCAACACCTCAGCAAGCACCTCCTTCGTCGATTAACGAGCAGCGAGCAACACCTCCATCGTCTCAACCGAACAATCCGCATATCCCTTCTAGCCCAACGGTTCAAGCACAACATGGAAGAAGCTTTGCCACTAGCTTTGAATTTTTTTAAGTTTTGGGTTTGATTAGGTATTTTGGGCCATTTGAGGTGGTTTGGGGTGGAGGGGGAGGGGTAGGGGGTTAAATAGGAGAACCAAAAAAAAAAAATTGGACTGGTTTGGCCCGACCCGGCTCGGCCCGGTTTGGCCCAGAACCGGAACCGGAACCGGCCACCGGCGGTTCGGGCTCGGGCCCCAGTTTTCTGGCCCGAGGCCCGAACCGGCCGGAGTCCAGCCCTACTATAGCCCATCTATGAAGAAAAACAAACTTAATGTAAAATCTGGACAAATCGATCCCGATTCGTCAATTCTCTTCAGCAATCGATCGAGTTTTACCGGCGAGAGCTGCGATTCATTAGTAGCGACGACTTCAGCGAGACATCGGGTGATGGCCATAGCTTGTTCTTCGTCTTCTTCATATAAGTGGTTATAGTGTCTCTCACGAGGCAACAATGACAACACTTGAAGATCCACAGGCTAGGTGGCTAGGTCATGAATTCCAGTGTGATTTTTTACTTTCAGTAAAGAAGAGTGAAGAAATAAAAGATATGTAGTACGAGAGAGCTCTTCTCATCAGGCCGGCCTGACGGGCTGCCCTGTCCGGCCGAGCCCGTTTGGGCACCTTCCCGGTGGAATTTTTTGATGAAATTTTTTGAGCATGTTCCTCATCAAGTCTAGTTTGTCCATACCAAATTTCAGCTCAAAATTCAATCGGGAAGGTCGTCAAATGATTTTTGCAAGTTAACTGGTCCGGAAAATACATATTCCGGACCAGTCAACTTGCAAAAATCATTTGACGACCTTCCCGATTGAATTTTGAGCTGAAATTTGGTATGGACAAACTAGACTTGATGAGGAACATGCTCAAAAAATTTCATCAAAAAATTCCACCGGGAAGGTGCCCAAACGGGCTCGGCCGGACGGGGCAGCCCGTCAGGCCGGCCTGACATGATGATTTCTCGGTAGTACGAAGTATGAATGTATGATACGGAGTACAAAAAATTATACGTAGTACTACGTATCTCAAATTAGCTATGTGAATAGAAGAAAAATTAGTAAAAAGGAAAATAGACATGTTAGATTAGCCATGTCACTGAATTACCGGATGACCGTGAATTGAGTCTTTTTTTTAGTACTGAGAGTTGACTTTTCTGGGAGTTAAATAAACATGTTGGAGGGTCTGGATAGTTTTCCCTTTTTCAAATGATTATCTTCTGGCTCTAATTTGGTCAAAAAAAAAAAAAAATCTTCTGGCTCTGACGAGTGGTCCTGTGGTCCAGACTCCAGTCTCCACAGCCCACATTTGTATTTGTTTCTCTTTAACCATCCATGGGGGGCGTATATTTGAACTTTTCACCCACTAATCTAGCATGTGTCCCTTATAAATTACATCATCATACTGGACCGTAGCCGGCTAGGTAAAACAAAAAAACAAACTGTGCAGGTGCATCAATGGGAGGACCGATAACTCTTCAAACTTTCATTTTTCATTCGTACCAAAATTATATCCTCGTTCCCTTTTGATGCACAACATTTCTTACACATTCTTACACGTTTCTTTCTCCTCTGCACAACTCTACTTGACTACACAATACTCATTATCTTAATCCCGTGTCATTTGTACTTTGTAAGATAAATATGGGATGGAGGGAGTATAACAAATTAAAGCTGGAGCTTGAGTTGCCATTCACAGAATACTAGAACAGTCATGTATTTATTTTACTTTCCTTCTATAACTCATCTTGTACTCTGAAAACTGTTGTAAAATTGAACACATTGACATTCCATTCAAAGAGTTACTCCTGCATCAAGTCTTCACAACTATCAAGTCAACAACAAATACATCATCAATACCGAATCCAAAGTATAAATGTATAATAATTTAACGTAAATATACGCGTATGGAGCACGTTGACATGATGAATGATGAAATTTCTCTCATCTTAAAACATGGGAGAATCCTCACTTTTCCCCATGTCAGGTCAACGTGGAGCATGTTAAGGTCTTTGTTGAGGTGCTGACTATATATTTTGCCTATATATATGCTCCTGGGACCAATCACTAGGGGTCAAAAAACATCTTTAACAAAAAAGTACACAAGTTGAAGCGTTGAACTACAGTTGTACCACTTAAAATCCAGTCCAAGCAGTCATCACAAAAATAAGCCCCGGCTGATCAAACAAAACTGCAATGAAAACAAATACGTTGTTAAGTACCAAATGAGTTTAAAAGATCTCGATCATTAACTAACTATGATGTTTAACATATAGGAGTACTCCATAATACTCATAATTAATAATCTCAAATCACGACCTAGTCAAGTGTAACCGGCACCATTTTGAATTACACAATTATTTCTACTAAACTGAAAATTACAACAGTTTTTATGCTGTCTGGCCTCATCATAAAGGCCTCATCATCCTACTACATCATACCTTAAGCCACGGTAATTCAAAACTTTATACGAGATTTTTTATGAAAATATTTCAATTGGTACATACTTCATAGTTGTTATCTTTTCATCATAACATTTTCAAAGACAGATAAACTCCTTGCAAATAAAAAAAGACAGATGAACTAAGAATTGATAAAATGAAAACAATGAAAAAGAAATGTTTTTCCTTAAATATTTCTGAAATAACACATGAATGAAAAATTGAATACAATCATAGTCACCATAATTATTACTCCGTATTATAGTAACTAGAATATCAAAAGTCACATTTCTATCCACTCTCTTTATATTAAAATTATATTTTCCATTACTTATTTACTTCTAGATATAAAGATAAAATCGGAAAGTTCACAAGGGAAACTCCAAAACTGTATCCAAAAATAAAAAGAAGTAATCTTTTTTAATCACAATTTAAGGAGGTGTTTAGATCTATTTCTTAATACTGATTATGTTTTTCAAGAAGCATAAGAACATATTAGATTGTATGAGTAAAAGTTCAGAAGTAATTTTAAGTGTTGCAAATTGTTTTTATAGAAGCATTTTTTGAAAAATTGGGGAAGACCATTTTATGAAAAATAAATTCTGATTCTACTTCACAGAATCAATTCCAAACACCAGGGGCATCACAACCTCTCCATTTGAGACCAAACCACGGAATCTTGGGAGCTTGATGGAGTTTTGTGATAGATGGATGATATAAGTGAGACATTCTTTTGTTTGGATTGATGATCAGCTTTTAGAGTCTTTTGTGTGGAAGAAAAATGTAAAGCTTTAATAAAACAGGTGGTTAGTATGGTTGATGTGTGGATGAAGTTACCTTTAATTTTTTTGCTTGTGAGAGGAGACTGATGAGCGAAATATGTTTACGTATATAGAATATGTTGAGTTTGTTTGTGTAAAAAAAAAAAAAAAAAGGAAAATTTAAACTTGCATCCCATTTTTTAGAGCCCATTTAGTAGCACCAAAATCGTCTGTTTTGGCTGATTCTGTTGAAATTTATGAAGTTCTGGCTGAAGTGGCTGCGTTGGCTGATTCTGCTGATTTAAGAAAAAAATTATTTTTAAAATATATTTTATTAATAAAATAAAGAAAAAATTATATCTAGAAATAGCTAAAATGGTCATCTACAGTAACTTCAGCCAATACAGCCAGAAAAGTAACTCCAACCTTACTTTTTCTGCTTATTACACAACTCAGCGCGCGAAAGTAAAAGTTGCGTGTTTGGTGAAAATGCTGGCTGATAAACCTGATAAGCCGAAAAACAATGTTTCCAAACGGCCTCTTAAAGTGAGACTCAAATTTTCAAATTTGGGGTGCAAATATAAATGATTTAAAGAGTACTACACTAGTACTTCCATCCCTAATTGTTCATCCAATTACGGGTTAAGAAGTTTGACCAACGACAAAGTTAAATGATCCATTTGAAAGCTCAAACTATTTTTAGTAATTTTCTTTTACATATTCAGAAACTACGTTAAAACCACTACGAAGGCAGCAAAAAACCTTTCAACTTTCATCAAACTTTGATATATAAAATAAAATATTAAGAGTGATTTAAGTTGTCCTCCATAGTGAAAAGAAAGATCTTTGAGACGGAGGGAGTGTGATTCAAACTCAAATTTAAACGACAAACTGTGATCGAGAGGTAAAGTTCGAGTATTGTGGAAAAGCCACAGCCCACAATAACCATAATATCCCAAACACAAGCGCAAAAGCAAGTTAAAAGTTTAAAACCTGAGCATACAAACAATTAATAAGAAATTAATACAAGAGAATCGGAGATAAAACGAACCTAAGAGGAAGGAAGCGGAGGATCGGGGAAGGAAGGGACCCAATGGCGGTGGAACCACTCGCGGTGGAGGCGGAGCTGCGACTCGTGGAACTGAATCTGCTCGCGGGAGCAGCGGAAGAAGACGGAGTATCTGGAAGAGTCTAGAACTTCCGTGACCACGCCCTCCCACCAGCCGTCGACGTGGAAAGCGTCGACCTCTTCGCTGAGCCGGAAGGAGCGCGTGGGCTCGCGTGGGGGGACGGGGCGGACGAGGATGAAGTGGACGGACTGGCGGAGGGGCTTGGCGGGGTCGGCGTCGTCGACGAGGTTGTGGAACTCGAGGAAGATCTTGTTGTTCTTCCGGGAAATCGTGCGGAGGACGGTGGCGGCGTACCAGGAGCCTCGGAAACCGTCGTCTTCCAGGCTGACTTCAACTTGCGCTCCTTTTTTGCACCAATCTCCCCGTTCCTCTGCCCTCTTCTTCCTCTTCATCCCTCTCCTTTTTTGCACCTTCTCTCCGTGTAAGACACCGTCACGGCTCACAGAGAAGAAATGTTGAAGAATTATTAATTGACATATGACTTTTTCCTACCGTCCAACCCCAAACTCGCCGCGTCTATCCGTTAATAATACTCCCTCTCCCGGTCTTCCCAATGCAAGGAATAAAAGTTTGTCCTAAATGCTGTCAAAAGCCAAAAGAGAGCCAAAAGCCCAAAATGTGTCAAAATATCCGAGTAAAGGCTAAATTATCAAATAGGTCCGGTCCGGTAACAAAGGTTCAATTCGCCCCCTAAACTATTAAAAATGTTAAAATTACAATAAATCAAAAATAAAAAGGACTTTTTACATGAATATTACTAATTTAGAGCCACTTTTACAAAAGGACAAAAACATAGTTCTGTCAGTTTTTTATGCCACTGTTAGTTTTTTAGGTCACTGATTTCATGTAACTTTTATATGTCACTTTCACCGTCAAATGCGCCACTAATGTCGTTAACCATGTCATTGCCATCACCACTCATGTCACTGCCGCTGCCATTGCTCGTATCACTGCCGTTGCTGCCACTGCTGCTTGTCACTGCTGTCAGTCATAGTGACACCACCGTAGTGACATCTCCACCTCAGCCTTTTGACCATGGTGACTTCTCCACCGCCGAAAACCGCTGGCCACCTCCGATCACCTCTGCGGGCCATATTCTGCGGTGACAATTCCGCGGTGGCGCACAATTATTCCGGCGACTTTTCTCCATCAAAGTTTTCGCCGGAAATCATCACCCTTCCGCCTCGACACCGCCGCCATCATGTGAGACAGCCTATGGACTAACGGATTTTTACCTCAGGCTGATTCTACTGATTTATGAAAAAAATAAATTTAAAATATATTTTATTAATAAAATAAAGAAAAAAATTATATGTTAAAATAGCTAAAATGGTCCTCTATTGTAACTTCAATCGAAACAGCCAGAAAAGTAATCTCAACCTTACATTTTCTTATTATTACACATTTCAGTGCGCGAAATCAAAAGTTACGTGTTTGGAGAAAAAATTGACTGATAAGTCTGATAAGGCGAGTACAGTGTTAGTGTGTTAACAATGGAGAATTTACTCAAAATAGGACTAAAAAGGTTTGGAAATTCCAAAATAGGACTGATATGTTTTTATTTCCAAAATAGGACTAACTACTGTCACGTTTTGACAGTACCAGACTTCAAACGTGGCAGTATTTTCCAAACTTGGCAGTAATTACTCCTATTTTGGGAATAAAAAACATGACAGTCTTATTTTGGAATTTTGAAACTGTTTTAGTCCTATTTCTGGAACTTTCCCTTAACAATGGGGTTCTACGTATATAAGAGCGATGTAATTCGCTTATCACTTTACGGACAAAATTAAATCAAAACGATCCCTCTTATTCCTTTGTTATCAAGTATCAACCCTAATTTGTACCTGAATTAACAACTAGAATTAAAAGCACCACACAATAGTATAACTCGAAAACAAGTACTTAAAAGCACAAATGAAATCCAATGTTAAAGCTCAACATATTAACGAAAACATAAATAAAAGAGGCTCAACTAGTTAGGAGCTAAAAACAACCTGGACGCACCTTCTTCCATGGTCGAAAATACAACATGAAAAACAAAAACTAAAGTGTTTTTCATATTTAAATGCTCACACTCGATCACCACGCTCGAATAAGTTTTCAAGGTACACCCAAATTGATACTCAATCACCACCCTCGCAAAATTTTTATATATTTAAATTCAGCTCCCTACACAACTTCATTTTCATCATCTATGGTTTATCACTTTATCATTATCAAGATAGACTCAAATTCTCAAATAAGTTTTCCAAGCATTCCCGAACTGATACTCATCTTTAGTCATCTACATACAATAATAAATTTTCTCAAATTATTCTCAATACCCTTTGCCACCTCAAATTAAATGTCATAGAATTTTTTTAGTGTACATCAGTTGTACACAAAGTGTACACAAAACCCACCTAGTTACATGTGCACACAAATAATTCGTTTAAAAAGATGCAAGATTTTTTGCCAAAACACTCTAATTGCCGGTGTACATAGACAATGTACACACATTTTATGTATACTTTATGTACAACAAGAATCAGGGGCGGATTCAGAAAAATGTGTGAGGGAAGTCGGAATTTAATTATATACAGTATCAAAATGATGGATAGTTATTAGACAATATATTTGAGCTAAATGTTTCATATGTAGCTGAGATAAATGGTATGTAGTAGTTTAATGAGCCTTTTCAGTTAATGTATTGATATATATATATATATATATATCAATATATGTAATGTATCACAATATTCACACAACTAATGACGGAATAAGGTGCTTTATTTTTAAATTTAAGAATATAATCAACGTCACACATCTTTTTTTTTTCTGAGAATAACATATTGTGATTAGTTTGGATAATAGAAAACCTCAATTCCAATGAAAATATCAAAAACTGTTGATTTGGGTGAAATCCGAAACAGACAACGATAAATAACTAAGCAGCTGAACAGATTACTTCTTTTCTTCTTTTTCTGCCTCTGCTGCCCTCTTCAGACGAGCACCATGGTGTCGTTTGTTCACGCGCTCACGACGTAATTTGTCATAAGCTCTGAATGATTTCATCTCTTCAGTAACCTTAACAAATTCAACAGTAGGCTTCTCCCGGACAATAGGCAAAATTGGACCCTGGACTTGTGTTGCATTTGCAAGTTCCTCAGGCGTTGAATCACCAGCCTTAAATTTGTTAGAACGCCTTGGAAAGATCACCAGCTTGGCTTTGTAGGTCTTGAGCCTCTGGGCATTGGTCTGAAGGCCTTCAAGAGATTTGTTCCTTCGCCTATGATCGACTGCAATACCAATAGTTGGGGCCAACTTCTTGGGAATACCAGCAGCTTTCAGCTCTTCAAGTGAAAACCCTCTTCCTGCTCTGACTTTCATGTTGTACTTCAATGTTTGCCCATGGACGATTGGACGTAGTGGACCTGCAGTGGGTCTGGGGAAAATCTTAACAGCTTTCTTTTGTCTAGCATTGCGCCTCCTGGTTTTTCTGGCAGGTTGGTTAAACCAGGTTTTGACATAGTTTTGCCAATGCTTCCTGAAGTGACCGTTTGGCACAACATTGTTATGCTTCACCATTTCTTCTTACCTGAATTCGAACGGCGGGGTGTAGGCTGCGCCGACCGTCTGCCTGAGATGTGAGGCGTGGAGTGTTTATTTCAAGTTAATTAAGATGATGTTGATTTTTTCCAGAAGTCATAACTTTTTAGTCATAATGAGTTACGAGACTCATAATATATCAAATCGAAGATATTTCAGAGTTCTACATTCTTGAATTTTCAGTGGGGTATGCTGGCCACCCTGACTTCCCCTTAGCTTCGCCCCTGCCAAGAATGGCCCAATTTCATAAGACACTCATTAAATAATGAATATGCACCCAGATTAAAATCAGATTTATGAGCATGCAAATCTATTCGCTTCTTCTCTAATAACCACAAAACATACTCTAAAATATGTTTTATCTCATGATAAAAAAAATTAAAAAAAAATACCTCTTATCACCAAGAGTCCAAGACACCCGTCACCAATTTCTCTCATTATAACACCTTTCCTCCGGTGTCAAACAAAGTCCATAACCTTTTGGATTGTATAGAATTTTATTGCTTTGTCTATGAAAAGCTCAGAAGCCTGACTTACCAACGTTAGTCAGGATAAATTTAAAGCCTGACTATAAACGGTGTCTACCAATTTTAGATAAACAGATTCTCCTTCCCTTCTCCTTTATCAACCCATTCACTCCACTCCCTTTCATTCGGGATTAACTCCTCCGGCCACCTCTTCGCCCGTTAGTTTGCTATATTGTTGATTTAGATCCTTTCAGAATTTATGATCTAGTTTGATCTATTTAAATTTAGTCAAATATGTATGCGTATGCATGATTTGATAAATGTCTTTTGTATGCGTACTCAGGGACGGAGGTAGGGGCACCCGGGCCCGTCCAACCCAAAATTTGAAAATAGTTTGTAGTTTCAGTGTAAAAAATTATGTGTAAAAGTTTATGTGAAAAATTCTTTGTAACGACCCATCCCAACCTTTGATTCGGGCTACGTCCCTGTGTGTATTTTCTATTTTTAGTTTTAATTCAATCGCTCCTTATTTTGTGTGTGTCTATAATCTATTATATATTTTGCCTGTGAACGAGTTATTAACAAACAAAAAATTTATCGTTCACAGAGCGTGTAAAAATTGGTTTTATATAAATATACTATATATGTATTACGTATTAGGCACCGTGGCGTGTACAAATTGGTTTTATATAAATATACTATGTACTACGTATTAGGCACCGTAAGAGGTTAGATTGTGACTATAGTTATCAATCAACTTTATTATAAGCCCCAATTATGTATGTGTTAGTGTTTTGATATCATTAGAAGATGACCCTAATGTTTGTCATTTCCTTCGCAGCCCACTTTTCTCTAGATTCATTTTTTGTTTTTGTTTTTTACCTGCCCATTCACTCATATAAGACAAGTGTAGTGCTGAGAATGTACGATGTAATGGACACACTCACTCAAAATGTTGTTTTAGTTGAAGTAGGGGGCATTAACCTAATGGGAGCATGAGGGGGCAATTCCTCCTAATTGTCGAGGTTTAGGGGCAAAAGCTGGTGGTTCATGGGTTTGATATTGCCGGGTTCAATTTGGTCCATTCACTTTTTAGTCTAATTATGACATAAGGTGAATTTTGGTTAAACTAGTTTTGATAGATTCCACTACAAAAAAACAAAGAATTTGGTCACGTGACAAAGCACCGGACTCAAAACAAATTACACCGGAGTATGTCTCCGGTCACCGGAGCTCTTTTATCACGGCCATTAACAAAATTTTGTCAAAGATTTGGTCCGTGACAAAGGTTTTTGAAGACATGGGAGATAAATCCTTGACAAAATCCGTGACAAAAACGCTGTTTTTTTGTAGTGTTCTTAGGTTTGTGTTGGTATAATTCCATCCAAGTTTGACATGTACTTGTCATTATGTACATTAGTTCCGGCTTCAAAATAAGGATATGCTCATTTGCTTATATATTTCTTGTTTTGGCAGTTAATATTAAATATTACAAAGTGATTTTTTATGTTTGAATTTGAAATTCTTTTATGTACGTCTTATTAAAAAATAACTTGCCATGTAACCTCCCCAGTTCCCCTAGGAGGCTAGGATAGTTTATGGGATTGGGTACACCACTTAGTAGAAGGATAACGACAATACATTGCCTAAATTATGTAATTTCAAACTAGGGCTACTTATATCACTCTTGTTAACTAACCAAAGTGAACAACAGTAACACAATATAGTGAGATTAATGACATACTACGTATAATGCAAAATTAGAAGATTATATATATAGTTTTTGTTTGCCTTCCTTTCATTTGAGAAGTCATCCATATGAAACTAACTTTATTTTACAGGAGCAAAGTTATTCACATCATATGAGGATAAAAAGTGGTGATTTGAAGGTACCACTTTGAACCATGCTTACACTTTAGCCAGCTGGGCTTAAAGCTCCTCCTTTCTTGCCAGAGAGTGGGCTTTGCTCTCCTCTTACTCTGGTAACTCGTGGGCTGAAAGCTCTTCCTACCAACCGTGGGCTTATATCTCGCGATGGGCTTGCATTTGAGCTAGTTACCTTAGGACTGTTTATATGCTTTATCTCACCTCGGCTTCTAGTTATAATTTCATCTAAAATCTCCCCTCCCCCACCAGCAATAGATGACCTTGTGCCAACTTCCTCCTGTTTCAGTTCAAGACACCAACAAATTAGATACTATTATGTCCTACTCAAAGTGTGCCAGCTTCCAACTATTAAGAAATGAGATTTCATTGTAAAAAAAATAGATATCATCTTAAAAGAAAATAATATATTTTGGTCACATGACTCTTAGGTCATTATTCATATTTCTAGACTTCCATTTTTCTACTTTTCGTACAAGTCAGCACATTGCACGCCTATGATTTTTTTGTCAATAATGATCCCTCCGACCAAATAAGTGATCGGAAAGGAAAAATGACTAGAAATCATAGCCGTGCCATCTGGCATCAAAAGTGGAAAATGAAATATATATATAACTTTTAGAATAACATAATACCCCGTAGTTATAGGTCAAAAATTAAACTTTTAAGGCATAAAATGTCTACCAATTGAAGTGTGTTGACCAAAATCTTATACGCCAAAGTTATTTAGGAGGCGAAAAAACCATATGGGAGAAAGTCGCGTGAAATCTTTAGGGGGAGCACGAGAGAATTGATTGGAATGAATATTTATACGAGTAGTTCTTTGTATTGACTTTTAAAAGTCCTAATTGAATACACCTAAACTTTGATACTTTTAAAAGTCTATATTCAATAAACCTAGATTTCTAAACTCCATGGATTTCTAAATTTTTGCCACTAAATCCCCCTAAGGGATGATTTAGCACTTGATAGACAGCAGACATTAGTCTATTGTCTAGTATAATGAGCTTTAAAAGGGACTAAAGCACTTATGGGGGGTGAATTACCGTGGGAAGGTTGAAAGGTGCAGCAGGTGCCTCTTCATAATCTGCTGCATCTAAATCCTGAAGGTGTACGCCTTTGAAAAACTTGGGCAGAACATATTGTCTTATTGGAACCAAAAGCATAATCAGTAAAGGGAAAAGTAGCCCAGCAATTGGAACCCAAGTTATCCCAAAACAAGCAAGCAAATACACTGTCTGAAATATCGTGAATGTCGCGATTGCCTTGAAAGGCACTGTCTCTACAAAAGTTGCATGGTAGTCCTCCAAAACCCTGTTAGCCAGTTTTGGGATGTAAATAATAAACAAGGAGTACAACTATAAGCTTAAGGTAATAGTTAATGAAGAGCATACTTGTATAGTTGTATCTTCTCCCTACGTTTAAACTTATGTTAATAGTTAATAATAACATACTTGTATCTTCTGCCAACCAAAAAAACTAAAGTTTTTAGGTAATAAAGAAGGTATTTGTATCTTCTGCCTACCTATAAATTTAAGTCAATATTTAATGAAGAACATGCATCTTTTGCCTATCTAAACACTTAAGTTAACAGTTAAGAACATACTTATTTTTTCTCCCTACTAAAAACTTAAGTTAATACATAATGAAGAACATAGTTGTATGAGTGTATATTCTGCCTGCCTATAAACTTTAGGGAACAGGCCATGAAGAACATAATTCTATCATCTGCTTACCAATAAACTTAATTTAATAATTTAATGAAGAGCATACTTGTATCTTCTGCTAGGCGCGGTGAAGAGTAGTAATATTCTCTCCCAGAATTGATTCCCGGGCAGGCTTTCAATGGCCATATAAGCAAAATAACCCCACAACACAGAGGTTGGGATCATTCTCAAAACAGGCATTGCGGCAACACAGCCAGCCACCATTGTCGCCTGAAGCAAGTTACTCAAACGCTGCTCTTTCACCTCTACAGGCAACAATTCATCAATTTCCTTGTCAATGTCAAAATGTGTCTCATCAACCGGGGCATCAATGTGCCCTGAGCTTGATGCCACTTGAATGGTTGATTCCTTGAACTCTTTTAGCCCCTATGACAAAACATAAAAGATATCTTCACTGTTGTATAAGAAATTAAGGCTCCTTCTGTAGTCATAAAAGGCCTTTTCCACTGCTAAAGTGACAAGTAAAATAAATAAATAAATAAATAAATAAATAAATAAATAAATAAAGCAGAAGTAGTTTTGGATTCACTTATTTGAGTGAAATAGATGTTAGCCAATGCTTTTCATTTCTGGAAATAGGAGTGATATGTTATTTCTTTCCTTAAATAGGAGTAGCTCTACATTATTCCCTTTTTAAGTTATTAGGAGTATATGGCTTCTAAAAATGGAAGTTAATTATTTTTGGACATTATTTTCCTTAGTAAGGGTATAGTGAAGGTATATATCTGTGGTACTTCTGTTATTTAAGTAGTGTCATTAACATCTCCGTACTAAAAAATGATTATAGTTCTACTGAACTAGTTAGTATTTGGATAATATGGAAGGATAAAAGTATAAACAATTATATAACATACTGTTGGTGATGAATGCTGATGGATTAGAGGAGTTTGCATCCATTTATAAGCTTCCTGCATGTTTCCGTATAATTGTGTCAGGCTTGAGTTGCTCTTCAAACTTTCGCGTGCTGCTGCAACAAGCCGGGTCCGAAGTAGCTTTCAATGAAGATCAATGTACATTTTTAGGTGAGTTGCAAAAAATAAAATAATATTCACTCAATTATAATAGTAATTTTTTTGCTAAATAATGAAGATATGATTGAAATGGATCAAGGATTATAAGTACTTGGTGTTTAAGAGTAGCCAGACTTTTAGTATGCATTGGAGATTGTGGAATTACACCGTTTGAAGGAGGGATGCCAATGAGGCCACACATTAGGGTCTGCCATTTAAAAAACAGATACAAGAGGAAAACTTCATAAGAATCAGAAGGTTCATATGTAGATGATGACAAGTATATTGACAAGTATATGACTGAAGTAAAAGTAATGGAAATTATGTGACTTTTAATAGGCAGGGGTCATACTGGTATGTAGTGATCATACGCATTGACGGTAGTAATATAATTTGGAAAAACACTACATATTTCGCAATACGTACAAACATAAAAATAGCATCTATCAAATCGGTTCCACAGTTATATTTTGCATACCAAAAAACCTAAAAGAAGCAAATCATAGTGAAAAGATGGAGGCTTTCTGAGATTGAAATCTTTCTGCTGAGCAAGTTGGGATGCCACACTGTGGTCAAAGTAGTAAAGCACTGCAATCATAGTTGCTGGAACAAAAGCTCCCACTATGTAGAGAATGGGCATATTCAGCATTTCCTGCCATATGGATAATCATATGTTACACGCTTGAGTACTGTAGAAGAAAAGTAATTAAGAGATGACAAACTGATGATCTGAAGTGAGCTATAAACATGCCTTAATAACAGTCCAATTCTCATATGCACCGGGTGACCATGGGTTTGGGCTAGAGAGTCGTCGTGGAATCCCTTTTGGGACACTTTGTGATGGTATGTAGGACACCCCTGTCCAAACTAGAACCATAATAGGTACCCCATAGTCTGCTATTAGGCTTCTAAACCAACCTGTATGATCAATGAATAAATGAGACATTACTTAATAAAATACTAGTAAAATCCTGTTAATGGCGAATCCTTAAGTTTAATTTCTGTGTGTACTTACCAGTTCCATACCTCCACGACCTTGCTTTTCGGCTTCTCAATGCAGTAAAGAGTAGACCAAATGATAAAACTAAAGCAAACATCCCATTGGCAAATCTCCATGAAGATGTGAACTCTATTGATTTGGGATTTTCCCGTTTTGGGATGCGAAATTCATATACAATTCCCTAAGGTCAAGAGAATCAACTCTTAGGGTCCTTCGGGAACCCAAAAATATACTAAGGAAAGACAACATGAAGGAAAACAGACAAAAAAGGCTGAAACTCAACGGTTTTTTTAAAAATGTTTGTTCACTTGCCTTGATCGAATTTACTAATTTATTTATCCATTTACTTATGTTTGAAGGCTTTTGCTAAAATATTACAAGTACAAAATAAAACTAATGGACAAAAAATGACTAAATGGTCAGCATAGATACTGCAAGAATAGCACCATAGGCAATGCACCATCGAAGTCACTGTAATACAGAAGGCACATTTTTGCCCACTACTCTTATTTTAGTCATACATTTGTCACTTTCTATTTTTGTAAAAACTCTAAAAACATCATTTATATTCTTTCTTGAGTTTTTCCCATAAGTAAACTAGATATAAGACAATAACTTTAACCATATTTCCCCCCTTCACTACCATCTTTCTTGCACCCAAATATACTGCTAGAGTATTATGATAGGTAGTTGACCAACAAATTAAGAAACAACATGAAAATTTTGGCATGCCACTTTCACCAAGAGACTAAGAGTGCATAAAAAGTGGAATGATGTTCTTACTTTGATTGCTTGCTGCATGAAAAGCATGGAAATAAGCATCCCAAATAGCTCTCCAGCGAGGCGGGTGAACCTGTTAATAATGGAGCATGCTCCTAAAATTGCCAAAAGAAACAGCAAAGCTGCTGTCCACACACATACCCTGAAAAAATCAAACATGTAAATGGATCAATCATATATACATGACGATAATCAATATGTGTACACGCCGAGTAGGCAAACAACTGATCACAATAGTAGTATGGCACTAACCATCCAGACCATGCAAGGAACAAATCACGGCCCAAATCAGGCCTTCCTTTGGCAAAGTTAAACATGAATGTATACATGATAACAGTAGGCTCTGCCACGCCTAATATCAGCAGAGGCTGACCTCCGATTATGGAGTGGATCATGCCACAAATTGCAGTTGAAGCCAATGTTTGAACAGCGGTAAGAACTCCTTCTACAAGATTTCAAGTAAAATTCAATTAATGACTATATACATCATCCCATTGGAAAAACATCTCTATCTTCACTGCAGGTTCTTTTACCACAAAACATCAACATATTCCATTATTGAATAGGGGGTTTCTTAAATCATTGTTGAAATAGAATTTATAGATAAAATGTGATTATACTCCGTAGTTCCTATGATAATATTGTCATGTTAAAATTGAACACAATCCTGATCACTATCATTACTACTATAGTCATTGCATATACGGAGTATATTTTTTCTTTTCTTTTAGTCATTGCATATTAAAGTCTCACTTTTGTCAATAAAAGAGTACTCACTCCCCTTTCCCACGAAAAGGGTCTCTTTTTAAACAATTTTTGTTGCCCCAAAAAGGAGTCATAAGTTTATTCATCATGTACTCCGTATTTTTTAAAACAGAAAGAATCAAAGACAAGTTAAATGTGATAAAATTATTTTAAAAACATAATAACTTAAAACAATGATATGAACTCGTTATTTAGGTAGAACACGAACCTTTTTAAGGACGCAAGTAGTACATACATTTCTTCTGAAGTGATAAGTAATAAGACACATAAGTTGTTTTATGATACTCCGTATTAAATTTGTCAATCATCATAACCATTACCAGTATTCCTCTCTAGCTGTTCACCAAAAGAAATGACTGGGATTGCTGACGCAAAGAATATGTAGGTGGTGGGAGCCAAGATCCTGATAAGTGACATTTCAACTGTTTCAGTACAAAATACTACTCTAGGGGTAGAAGAATTAGGAAATGCTTACACACACAAACACATACTCCATATTATACTCCACTCCTTCCCAATATTATCTCTTGTTTTGACTTTGCACATGGATTAAGAAAGTGATAAATGTGTGGTCTAAATCTAAGCAGATTCGAGAGAAAGTGGTGAAAGAGAAGATATTGGGACGGACGAAAAAGGAAATAGTGAAAATAATATTAGGACGGAGGGAGTACTCCATATACCTTAAGCCAGCATTGAATCCACTACTCCAATCTTGCTTGTAACAAAGCAGTCTCCCATGGAGATCATTCCTGATCCCCCGAAAAGGCACAAACGTCTCTTCCATGTGATTCTACCCCACAAATTTCTTCTTCTACTTCACAATATCTTAGAAACGATTATAGATTACACTCATGCTACTTTAAAATGACAGGCTATTTGACAAAGCTTCATATGATCTGGGGGAATTGCAGTACTTTTCAATAACAAGATTTATTTATTGATGTACACAACATGGGCTGATGGGCACGTCTATTGACTATTTTACTATAATAAGAAAACAAAAAGATGTCAACTTTGACACAAATATTTGGAGCCCAGATCACATTTCATTAAAGAAAATGAGATTAGATGGATTTGAGCATGGGGAAGAAAGAAGTTGAAGAGTGTTTTTTGAGTAAACAAAAGCAACGTGCGCGCGCCAAGGAAGAGAGGTCTGAAAACTCCAAATATAGACTTGAGAAAAAATAGTGCAGGAAATTAAGTGAAACGCGAGTCAAAGTTGAAAGGAGGATATTCTGTCAAAATAATTTGTTAACGTCACAATCATTTGGCTTTATGGCCATTAGATGACTTTTAAAATGGTGGCCATTATAAGACTTTTATTCCTTAGAATTCCCCTTTTACCTTACCTGGGTTAAAAACAATGTTTATAAAAGTTAAGTAATTTTTTAGCTGATATAATGAGATAATTGTAGGGATAAAAGTAGGTCGGAACAATCAAGTTTTCGCTAAAAATTCTTAGGAAGGTTTGAATATATAAAGGAAATATATTCAAGTTTGGTCCATAATCAGAAATCACTAATCAGTGGCTTTTAAAGTAAATAAGTAAAAAGAGTGCGACTAGAGTGTGCGATAATTTATTACGAGTAGTTTATTACACTGTTTATATGTTATATTACATTCTAAGAAGAATGTAATAATAGTCTTTCATACGGAGTAATGTAATAATTAAGTAGCGATTTAAAAGAAGAAACATCTAAAACAATTTCTATAACTTAAACAAATAAACAATAGAAAAACTCATTTTTTAAGGCTTAGGATACTTATATAAAAATTCCTAATTTTTTCATGTTTAACTATCTTTATTAGATAATTAGTACACGATTTTGTTAAATATATATCAAATAATATTAAATACAAGAAACACTAGTTACAAATTTTTTAAATTGTGTTAAGTAAATCCAAAATATATATGTTTATTGATATTCAATTACACAATTTATTTCATATATAATAAATTTTAACTTATTTTAGAATTAATACAAATATTTCATGCACCATATATATATATATATATATATATATATATATATGAATTAGCAACATATTATTATTTTAAAAATAATAATCTCATACTTACTATTATAATATTAAGAAGAATCCTCGTGACTCAAGAACACCTACCTTGGTAGACAAAATTGTAATTCAAAAGTCAATTCTTTATTACGATAAGATTCATGTGGTTAAATAATGCAGAAGTTATTTAAAAAGTAATGGTGTATGTGTGCCTTTTAAGTTCTTTATCTTCAAATAATTGGATAAAATGTTATACGTATATCTTTTTTTTCAAATAGTTTTCCTTAGCTTCAATTTGTCATCTCTTACGTTTAATGTATCAATACTTTTTTCTATAGCACTTCAATTATAAAATCAAAGTTATTTTTTCATTGTCTAAACTTAGAATGTAATAGATTTAAATGTCGTCATGTATGCATTAACCAAAATTTTTTGAATAAAAATTAGTCGTAGAGCCCTACACTACCCCGCTACACTAGTGAAGAAATCCCCACCGCTTCACTTACGAAAAAATTTTCACCCCTATGCTGATGAAAAAAAATTCGCCCCCCTTGATTCGAAATCCTGGATCCGTCACTGCCCTTAAATGAATCGTTGATTAGAAAATGAAAATTATGCTTAAAAACTATCATGATAAACTAGTGGTGATGGAAGGATATAATGATATATATATATATATAGATGAAAAATGCTAGAGGTACCCCATTTTGGGTATCTCATTTGTACCTCACTCATTGAGTGGCTCACAAAATCCCAACCCCACAAAATAATTGCCCCACTTTAACTCATTGTCTTTGTGAACAACAAAATTAGGGAGGGGTATAAAATGGGGTAACTTTAGAATTTTTCATGAGATAATTCTCTAAATAGGACCAAATAATGTTAAAAGTTCAACAATAGGACTCTAATGTTAGGTTATCTTCCGTAGGACTAAAAAGAGTTAGATAGACAAAACTACCCTTAATGAAACTAAATAGGACCAAACAATGCAATTAAAATAATAGAAATAAAAACGACAGCAGGCCTAGACTCTACGATACATCCTCTGCTATAGGAACACAGCCATCTCCATCGCCACTGCTGCCGCCTCCGTCGGATCCGCCGCCGCCGACGATGTCGGCGCCGCCTCCGGCTCCACTGACGTCATCTCTGCCTCTGCCGGAGTCACCGCTGGACGCCTCCACCGGCGTTGCCGTCCCCCTCCACTGGTGTCACTGATGGCCGCCTCCACTGACGTCGCCGCCGGCCGCTTCACCACCGTCCGCCACCAGATCTGAGATCTGATTTGTGATTTGTTAATATTGTCATACAAATGACATCTTGCAATTGTATTGCCATCTTGATGATATTATTGTCATCCTGAAAGAAATAAGATTGACATTTTCAGTTTGAAAAATGGCATTAATGCCTTTCATAAGAGTATTATTGACATCTTTGTATCTTTAGTTTCATAAAAATAGCATTCATTTTCGAAGTGACATTTTCACATTTAGAGGACTAATATTAAAAAGGTAAGTGTCATCTTGCAGTTGAAGTGTTATCATATTGTCTTTATTGCCATCTTGACAGAAATAAATGACATATTCAGATTGAAAAAATGACATTAATGCCATAAAAATGACATTAATGTCATAAAAATGACATTCATTCTTAAAGTGATTTTTTCATATTCGAAGGAATAATATTATAAAGGTACTAATATTATTCTGAAATTAAGTTCCAATAGATGGTATTTTTTGGGAAAATAATAATAATGATGTTAGTTTCGTTTTCAAAAATAAAAAGAAAACATAAATATCAAACATAAATTTTCATTTTCAAAAATAAATTCGAAAAATAAAAAATCAGAGGAGAAGCAGAACAATGAAGAAGAAGAAGGTTGAGAAAAATAAGAAGAAGAAATAGAGGAGGAGGAGGAGGAGGAGGAGGAGGAGGAGGTGGAAGGAGAAGAAGAGGAGGAGGAATTCGAATCTTACCTATGAGTTCGCTACTGCTCGCCGCCGCCGCCGCCGCCGCCGGAGCTCCAGAAGAAAACCACCGTTGATACTTCAAAAATCGGTCGGAGATGGAGGAATTTAATTGTATTGAAAATTCAGAGATATGTGAGAGCTGGAAGATGAAGTTAGGTTGGAGCCAGATCTATTGCTTGAAAGAGCTTATTCCCAGATCTAATTTGGTGCTTGAAGAGAAAAGAGAGGGGGAGAGAAGAAAGGAGAGAGGAGAGAGAAGCTAAGAGAAATTTTTTTGGTGCGTGTGTATGAGTTGTGCGTGAGAAAAAAAGGGTAGAGTGGGAATAAAATAGAAAACAGTCCTATTTTGGGAATAAAAAAAATTGTAGTCCTATTCTTGCATTAATCATCTATTTTAGTCCTATTTAGGTCAATAACTAATTTTTCATATATAGATACAAACACATCTTAGTATACACATTACACACAAGGTTTAGCTCTAAAGGACACTGCATAATACTCACTATCCATTAGATCGTACAATAACAACATTTCAAATATTCAAATATTTACAAGTCAGAGAACTGCATATGATGCAATGCCACTTAAGTCTAACACACAACAAACATAGTGATTTGTGATTCTGAAAGATGAGACTGTTCAGCTTCATGAAATGTTCAAGTAAAACAGCCAACATCCCCGCAACTATCAACTCTAGCTAATGCCGTGCATGTACTGAAGTTTTTTCATCACCTCCACAAAACTAGCATCACAGTCAGGGGTGGACCCAGTCCTCGGGTCAGCTAAGTGTATATCGGATCTGGGTTCGTGTGTCAGTTTAGGACCATTTCATATTAGTTTCAAAGCCTAATTCAAAATCATAAAAATCTTTGGTCTGATTACAGAGAAGCTGGAACCGGTCCAAAACAGTTTTGTTGCCAGTTTGAAACTTCAAAATGGTAGCAAGAGGTTCGATTTTTAACCTAGCCAATCCCAGTTCCGGGTAGTACTGGACCAGGTCCACCCTAATCCCAACCAAATGCACTCAAATATAACGAATTAGCACACATTCAACGACAGAAGAGATATTTGTAAGCTGCCAGTCTTCCCCCCAGATATTTGGAGGATGGCCACTTGGCCCACTTCCCTCCCTCATTATCAAATAGCAAGGGCTACCTTGCTATTTCCACCTTCATAATCTTCTAGCATAAGTAGACGTTAAGTGTTTGAAATATGAAAGTCCAAACAATTAAATCCCTAACATGCAACAAGTTAGACAACACAAGAAAAGTGATTCATAAGAACTAAGAAGCATTCTATTACCTCAATTCAAATGCAACTAAAGATATCTTCTGGTGGAAATTTGATAGAAGTGCGGACTATATAAAAAAAGATGTAGCTTAGCTACCATACATGTTTTACATAGTTGTGAAAACGTACAACAACAACAAAAACAAATCTAAGGTAGGAGGATGACTGCGTTTGGCGAGGAAACCGGATATGTAAGCAAGGTTTGACCTATCATGATAAATTCACTTGTATCATCAATATTAACCCAAATCCTCATCTGTTCCAAAGCAGTTGCCCTCTTGAGAAAGATTCGTGCCAATGTGAGCATTGGTTCACCGCCAAGATTTGGATTGGCCAAGTTAGACATTTTAATTGTCTTCAAGTGCAATAAGTCACAATCCAAATCACCCTTTGCAGGTGGGACCCAATCCTCATCTAACTACAACCACAACAAGATTCAGACAAACCTACACTGAGAAAATGCTGATTATATCTTGAAATGTAAGAACTCAAATATGTTAACAACATAAAAATAAAGCTTAACAAACATTCATACAAAAATAATGAAAACAAGACATGAATGGAGAATATTTACCGCATATGGGTCAATAGAATCAATGAATAATTTCTCGAGGTGTGGAGATGCTTCCAGCAGGCCTAAAATGCCAGGAATGGTTTCTGCAGAATGACCTACCATATCTATTGTCAAACACCTTAGCGTATTTTGTGGAAGCTGCCAACCATCCAACACCAGCGCTGCTAAAGCCTATTACACATGTTTGAGGGAAAAAAATATTATAGATACAAATGATATAAAATGTAAGGTCTGCATGCAAATATCCAACACAGGAATATAATTTCTGAGTATTCATCTAAACCTCAAGTATTCCAAATCCATATTTGACTGTTTCAACTTTCATGATTTACAACATATTTTCACTTGAATA